TCCTATCACCAGTTCTCTTCCACTGTCACCTCAGAATTAGACCAGAATTTGGTCGCAGTTCCAGGACTTATCAACACAACGCTGTCAATATCAGAACCTTGTCAAAGTCTACTTCAAAGATACCTTTTAGTTTCAATCTATGTCTGACAGAAAATCCACCCCCTACTTTTTTTGTCTAGGATATGTACAGCTATAAACTGGGAGACTTTTAGAGAATGAGATTAGAATGAATGGTGGACAGGATCTGCTGTAGGTATTACAAGTTGGAAGGAAAAAGGAAAGAGCATAAGGAAATATGATTAACAAGGCCAAAGTGGTTAAAAGAAATCTCTCCAATGCAAGGAGGTCCTTCTGACAAACCTGTTCTTGTTGAGAAATGGCCTGGTGTGGTGCTGCCACATTAGACTCTGGTATCATTAGGGCAACATACATGTCACGGCTTCTTCCTTCCATGGCCTAGGCTGACTACCAGAGGTTCATCCCCCATTCCTACCTCTGCTTTAAAGGGTACACACATCAAGGGGCTCTCTTCTTTCCACCTACAAACATTCTACCAGTGTTCTCTCATGACACAACTCCTCAATGCCAATCTGGGTGTTTTTCCTTGACTCCTAATATATCATCTCCTGAGCCTAACATTTGTTACCTTTCCTCCTTTTGGTGCTGGGGACTGAACTGAGAGCTTTGTGGATGGCCAGGCATGTACTCTACCACTGAGCTGCATCTTCACCCAGAGCTTTGCTTATCATACTAGTCAAGGACTCAATTATTTGATACAATTACCAAGGCACATGAGAATAAGGGAGATGCTGCACTTAGCATGCGGACAAAATAATCACCCTGTCTATAGGAGTCACCTCAATGTTGGCTTGTGTGGCAATCAGTGCAGAGCTCTGGCTAGGAGAAAACAAAAGCCATGTCTGAGAAATACATGAAAATACAGTGTAATCTACTGGTAAAATTATCAACAGGAGTTTTCTGAGGGGTGAGGCATGAGTCATTAATTATGAACCAAGAACTACTCCTTCAAAAGTGTAAAGAAATAAGCCAAAGTCACCAGAAAAGACCAAAAAATGGGTACTTAAGAGAAAACAAAAATGTTCTTAGTCAAACAATGGTAAACAG